TTACTCATTTTTATCTTTCTTTATTTATTTACTCATTTTTATCTTTCTTTATTTATTTACTCATTTTTATCTTTCTTCATTGTATCTCTCTTTATTTATTTACTCATTTTCATCTTTCTTCATTTTATCTCTCTCTATTTATTTACTCATTTTTATCTTTCTTTTAATTTTTACCTACTGAACAATTCCGTATTTCTTTTCGTTAGGGTTCTTTCGATAAGGTTAGGTTAGCTTACAATTAGTACCAGTCTGCAAGTCAGACAGAGTAGGACTCTGGTACCAAAAAAAAAAAAAAAAAAAAAAAAAAAATGTCGCTCGTATCAGGTCGCGTAACGATTAACGAAACGTTTGTCACCAGGTGGATGTCCCGCTCTGCCATGAGGCCGGCCGAGGGCGATACGTCGGACTGCATCCTGGTGGTTGGCATATCCAGACCAAAGATGGCCGCCGCCTTCCTCACGGTGGTCCTGCTCTCTCTCTTTCTCACCTTCCACATTCTGTACGACAGCGCGGTGTACAGTCTTCACGCGGCCTCCGCGGTCGAGGGCCGCGCGGTCCAGCTGGTCTCGCAGGTCCGCGCCACGCCGCCGTTGCTCTTCTCCAGCAAGGTTCACTTCCCGCGTACCAGCCGGCATCTACCTCAGGCGATCATCATCGGGGTGCGTAAATGCGGGACCAGAGCGCTCCTCGAGATGCTGTTCCTCCACCCGCAGATCCAGAAGGCCGCCGGCGAGGTTCATTTCTTCGACCGGGACGACAATTACGGGAAAGGCCTCGAGTGGTATCGACGGAAGATGCCTTATTCATTCAGGGGCCAGATCACCATCGAGAAGAGTCCCAGCTACTTCGTCACGCCAGAGGTGGGTCGTCCGATCGCCTAACTTTCGCCACCAAAGTCATAAATTATATATATATATATATATATATATATATATATATATGAAGCGGCATATATTTCGTTCCAGATTTCATTTAAAAATCAATTGATTATGATACTTTTGTACAGTCAGTTATACCGCAGCCATTAAATTATTCATTGGGTTAAAATTATTTTCAATAAGACGTGTGTTTGATAAACAGGTGAATATATTTATTTTGCCTAATTCCTTAATTTCTTCTATATATATAAAAATATACAAATATATATATATATATATATATATATATATATATATATATATATAATCAATTATTAATATATTATACATATGTATATCATTGCATTAGAGTTGGCACTCTTTATCCAAGTGTGCCTTCCTTGCAAGATAGTTGAGGTTAGGATTATTATTGTTCGACTCGTCGAATACTACCAAACATTAATATAATATAACTTCGTCCGATGTTTCGAGTAATTTGTGTTGATAAAACAAATTGTAATTGAAAGAATGGCGGAGAATCTAAGGAAAGAAACATCCAAAATTGGTATAACTGGCTGAAAAATATTTATATATACATATATATATATCGGCAACGTCATCTGCCATTTTTAAAATAGTATTTGGAAATTGAGAAATGTCCAGAGTATTGTTTATTCAAGACTGATAAAAATGTAGACTCGTCAGTATTTTTATACAAAAACAACATCTAATTTAAAATAATCACTTGGATGCTTTGTTGTTTGTCGCCAGTATAAAAATTGTGTAAATCGCACTTTTTTTTTTATATTAAGCAATTCCCGCTGAAACGATAACTCCCATTTTCTAAAATATAATCAACAAAAGTAGTCGCTGAATATATATAATATCAAATACGTAATTGTGGTTAATGTCGCGCTCCACGGACATATTTTTGTTTGCAGCTTTACCGCTAAATAACACGCAACTCGCGTGTTCGCGTATATACCCGCGAAATTCTAAACATGACAACAGACATCATTACGCGGAATGTACGACCCGACGTTTTGCATATTTGTTGCATATTTTCCTAATCGACCCTGATATTATCGTCCTTTTTAAGTTAAATTTACGTTAGTTTTCCTAATCGACCATGATATCGTTCTTTTTAAGTTAGGTTAGTTTAGTTTAGGTTAATTTTTTCGTCCTGACATTATTGTTCCTTTTAGGTTAGGATTGAGTTAGATTTAGGTCAATTGTCGACTCTATTTTCGTCCATTTTAAATTAGATTTTAAATTAGATTAGTTTTCAATTAGATTAGGTTTAAGTTAGGTTTTCTAATCGATCCTATCGTCCCTTTTAAGTTAGGTTTAGGTTAGATTTAGATTAGTTTTCGTAATTGACCCTGATATTATCATCCTTTTTAGGTTTAGGTTAGGTTTAAGTTCATCATCCAGGTTAGGTTTAGGGTAGATTTAAGTCAATTTTCTTAATCGATCATAATATTATTGTCCTCTTTAAGTTAGATTTAGATTAGTTTTCCTAATCGACCCTGATATCGTCCTTTTTAAGTTGGGTTAGATTAGGTTTAGGTTAGTTTTTTCAATCGAACCTGACATTATTGTTCCTTTTAAATTAGGATTGAGTTAGATTTAGGTCAATTGTCGGCTCTATTTTCGTCCATTTTAAATTAGATTTTAAATTAGATTAGTTTTCAATTAGATTAGGTTTAAGTTAGATTTCCTAATCGATCCTATCGTCCCTTTTAAGTTAGGTTTAGGTTAGATTTAGATTAGTTTTCGTAATTGACCCTGATATTATCATCCTTTTTAGGTTTAGGTTAGGTTTAAGTTCATCATCCAAGTTAGGTTTAGGGTAGATTTAAGTCAATTTTCTTAATCGATCCTAATATTATTGTCCTCTTTAAGTTAGATTTAGATTAGTTTTCCTAATCGACCCTGATATCGTCCTTTTTAAGTTGGGTTAGATTAGGTTTAGGTTAGTTTTTTCAATCGAACCTGACATTATTGTTCTTTCTAAATTAGGATTGAGTTAGATTTAGGTTAATTTTCGACTCTATTTTCGTTCTTTTTAAATTAGGTTTAAGTTAATTTTCCTAATCGACCCTAACGTTATCGTCCTTTTTAAGTTAGGTTTAGTTTGGATTTAGATTAGTCTTCGTAATTGATATTATCATCCTTTTTAAGTTAAGTTTAGGTTTAAATTAATTTTCCTAATCGATCCTACTATTATCGTCCTCTTTAAGTTAGGTTCAGGTTAAATTTAGGTTAGTTTTCCTAATCGACGCTGATATTATCGTCTTTTTAAATTAGGTTTAGGTTAGTTTCTTTAATCGACGCTGACATTATTGTTCTTCTTAAGTTAGGATTGAGTTAGATTTAGGTTAATTTTCAACTTTATTTTCGTCCTTTTTGAATTAGATTTAGGTTATGTTTTAATTAATTTTCCTAATCGACGCTGATATTATCCTCCATTACAAATTAGATGTAGGTTAGGTTTAGATTCCTAATCGGCCCTGAAATTGTCGCCCCTATTTTTAAACTAAACGTATAAATGAAGTTAAGTTTAGGTTAAGTTTCGCTCCAAGTAATGGATGAAAAACAATTTTGTGATGTGTGCAGGTGCCCGAGAGAATTCGCGCGATGAACGCCAGCGTGAAGCTGCTGTTGATTGTGCGCGAGCCGGTGACCAGAGCGATATCCGACTACACTCAGCTGCGAACGCACGCGGCCACTGCCTCCACCTTAACAAACGGAACACCGCGAAGCATCCAACAACAACAACAACAACAGCAACAACAGCAACAGCAACAACAACAACAGACGTCGCGTAGCTTCGAGGAGCTGGTGATACGTCCAGACGGCAGCATCAACGAGTCGTACAGGCCAGTGGCCATCTCGCTGTACCACACGTACATGCACAGATGGCTGGAGGTGTTCTCCAGGGAGCAGATCCTCATCGTGAACGGCGACCAACTGATCGAGGACCCGGTGCCGCAGCTGCGCAGGATCGAGATGTTCCTCGGTCTCGAGCCGCGTATCGGTAGGCACAACTTCTACTTCAATCACACGAAGGGCTTCTACTGCCTGCGCAACGAGACCTCGGAGAAATGCCTGAAGGAGAGCAAGGGCAGGCGGCATCCGCGCGTCAGCCCGCTGGTGGTCACCAAGCTGAGGAGGTTCTTCAACGAACACAATCAACGATTCTACGAGCTGGTGGGCGAGGATCTCGGCTGGCCTGAGGAATAACCGTCGTAGATGGGCGTCGTTCGATCGCCTGGATGCGCTCGGCCACGCGTTTCGGCCATTTCGAGATTCTGCCAGGTCCCGTCACTACGTTTCACGAAGAGGTACGCTGTCTCACAGCTAGCTTTCTTCTGCCTGGCTTCGGAGAACGGAGAGTCGCCAGTGTCTGAGAGAGAGAGAGAGAGAGAGAGTCCTGGACGTCGAGGAGTAGTGTGCTTCTCGGCTGGCCCGAGAGAACGCTCTTAACGAACCAAAACGAAAGGGAGCCTCGCAATTGCCACGGAGAGTACCTCGAGAATCTCCACCATCCACCATCGAGTGATTGCTCGTCCAGGGGAACCGAACGGCGAACTAAACAGCAGCGTGCCGACGAAAAGGAGCAACGACAGGGAGGAAGGCAGAACGTGAAGGAAGCAGGCATCTTCGTGATTCGAATTCGTCTCCTGGTGGAATACTACCAGCGGCAAATATCCGCTGGGAAGATCAATCAGTTTTTTTTCTTCTTTTTTTATCGATTATTCGACGAATTACGTGTCCGCGGGTGCATCGTTGTCGATCCGGTATTCCAAGATTCTACGGGAACAAGAATTCACTCGGCACCTGGCGCTTCTCGTCGTGGGAGGCTGATCGGGATAAGTATCAATTTGTATAGTACTTCTACCGATTAGTCGTAAGACGGAGAACAACGGGAGAACTCGTCGATGGGGGGTGAAGGGAGCACGGTACGTGCTCGAACTCGTTCAACGATTGAAATTTACGCTAATGAAATTCTAGTCACTGCGAAATTAGTTTTTAATTGTTTCAAAGTTGGATCAATGACTGATCCATCAAAGTGACAGATGAGTTTGCTTTCCCACGGAAAAACAGGGCGACTTTCTTCGAGAAAGAGGCAATTCGGTGCGAGTCGAGCCCATTAGACAGAGTGCATGCAATTTAACGGATATACGCGCCAGGATTCAAGGCTGTTATCGGGGATCCCGTGCTCGCTCGATTTTCAGTCGCTCGTCCTCGCGTGCTAATTGCTCCGGCACCAATTCTCTCTCCTCGCTCGATCGATCGATGCGATCCGCCGTGAAGGAGAACGGCACAGCGCAGCAGCAAAACGCGCGTCTAGCTTTTGAACGGCTGTTTCAACATCTTGCGTCGAGAATTTTTTTTTTTTTTGTGTCTCAAATTGCAACATTTTTTTCAGTTTAATATTTAAATGTGCATACCCAGGTGAAACAAACGATAAACTCCGTTACTTCTTAATTATAATAATAATTTCTGTCCGCTCTATAGTGATATCGTGCCGACGAGTTCAGAAGAAAGTGAAAGCGACGACTTGTTGTGTACGGTTCGGTCACTCGTTATGGTCCGCGCAACCAGTTGGTCAATCTCTTTCGCTAGTAGCAACGGTTCGCGGACCGTAACGAGTGACCAAACCGTGTACAATAAACTCGTCTTCCTTTTTTTCGAAACTCGTCGGTATACAATAACCAAGAAGTAATAAATTTTTTGCCTGGGTTATGTTTCAATGTACTTATCACTGAGAAAAATATTGCAATTTTGGCACGTCATTCTGGCGCAAATGGTTAAGAAACTCGCTTGCCAAAGGGTGTCAATTCGTTTAAGGGGTTCTTCTAGCGTGATGTGCGTGATTTTTAGCAATTTTTTGCAAAGAAACTGTTATACCTTTTGCAATCAAATTGGTCAAGGTTTACTCAACGACGTTTAAAAATTTTTTTGGAACAAAAAAAGTTAAAACCAATGACACTACTCTCAAATGTAGTCGGTTTTAAAAGAATGGCGTCTGACGGTGTCCACGATTCCGGCGATTCTGCTTGTCTGAAATAATAAAAAAAAAAAACGTGATAGTTTCTTAATTAGTAATTAGTTCTGGTTATGGCCGGAACTAGAACTATAGAAAAATCCATAGTTAAAAAATTGGCGGTACTGTGATTTCGACTATCGATTATTGCGTCATACTTCGCAGGCCTGAAAAAATATAAAAAATAAAAGTTTTTGGTTGATTCTGATTTGGGCTGTAGTCACACATGTACTAAATTTGTTCCGAAAAACATAATTTCCAGAAAAATGCCTTTAAAATTTAATATTACAATTAATAACAAGACACTGGTCGTCGCGTCCTTCAAACACCCGTAACTTCGTCAATTTCAGGAGTTCACATATAAGATTCCAGAGATGCATTTTTGAAACTATATTCTTTAAAAATATGCAAAAAAAAAATATCGATTTTATTTTAAATTTCACACTAGAAGACCCTCTTAAGGGGGCAGGACAGTTTGACGGGCCTAAAAATTACGAATACTTTGGAGGGCTGGTAAAAACAAAAGTACACGTTTGATTGACACGAGCTTTTGTGATTTATTTCAACACGTTAATGAACTATAGAAAGCAACATTGAAAGAGAAAAAGAGAGGGCTCTTGTTTAACTTTTCAACGGCATCCTTTTACATAACTTTTTTTTTACATTGCCTGTCGGTGTGCATGATTCCAGCTAAACAGCATTAGCTGCAACAAAAAGGCAAGAAAAGTTCAAAAGTAAACAGTATTCTCTAGGGATTGACGATCCAACATTTTCATTTTCTTAAAAATTATGAAAACAGCAGCTATCTGCTTTTGATGTATCGAATTTGTGTCAAAAATTTCTACGTTTTTTGTTTATGTTTTTCGAGATTGTTAAAAATTAAAAAATGTCCGATCGTCAATACCTAGTAAATGTTACATTAAAGATACTCACCAAGATTTCACAGTAATCGGTCGGTTAGACTCCGAGATATCTTGCACGCCGTTTCGAAGAACCTAATTTCGAGAAAAACGCGTTCAAAGTTTCAGAACGTCATTTTCCATACGTATCCTTTGCTTACTTCCTTTACTTACATATATATCGCGGCTCACAGTTCTTACAATTCACAACTAAATTAAATCCAAGTCCCCTGATATACGATTCGCCAAAAGTATAATATTTGAATCACGCGATTCACACTGCTTCAAGTTGTAAATAATAAACAGTGATAAACATTCAATTATCCTTTATTCACGGATGTATTATTATACTCCAAAATAAGTCGTTTCAAAGTGTCTTATTTCCAACACTTCGCACCGCTTAAATTTAAAACAAAACAAAAGAAAATCGATTTTTTTTTTCGAAAATATCAAACTGTCCTGACCCCTTGATATTTGCTCGACCGAACGAAAAGAAGTCGAGAAACGAAATCGGTGGTGGGAAGAGGCGTGTGGATTAGGTGGACGAGCGACAGGCGCGGAATTAGTTAAACGTCCTGGCGTGGAAAGGGTAACGAGATGACGGAGGAACCGAGGAGGCGGAGGAAGGAAATTAGCGAGATAGCGCGTGCGGGATCGATCCGGAAGGCCTGGCCGCGCGTGAAAGCAGCGTTAAGGGACGAAGGGGGCATTGGGATGTAACGCGGTCGGTTCCACAGAAGGATCCTCGATATCAGTCACGGCCACGTGTATCCCAGAGGAGCGGCCTATCGAAGCCGAAACGTGGCGAGGGTTAGATTGCAGTGGCGGTCGGAGGATGGAGGGTGGGTCGTAACTCGTTGCTCGTTACTCAGAGGAGGCCCCGTCTGTCGATTCTCGGTTCGGCGAACGAACGAGTTCGAGCACATTGTGCGCGCGGTGGTTCGTTCGATCCGACTCACGCCCCGGGGTTTATTTGGGTCGATCGATCTCCGCGGAAGAGTGCAGAATGATCCATCGACGCTGTTACCCCGCTTCTCTGCGTGGCTGAGCGCAACACCGCGCGCGTCTTGTTCCATCGTACGTTCACCTACACACATACACACACATATATACATACATAAATGGACGATAAAGAAAATGCATATACGTGTCCTCACGCGTACGTATATATAGACGACTAGACGAACACGGACACAGACGGACGCACGCACGCACGCACGCACACCGTTCACAGAGGAAGTAAAACGCCGGCCAAAATAGAAAAAAAAGAAGAAAAGGCAAAAAATAAAAAAAAAAACAAAAGGGAAGAAAAGAACAGAGAGGCGAGAGTCCGATGGAACGATTTCCCTCGGTTTTCCGAGAGGGGGGGGACAGCGGTGAAAGACAAAGAGAGAGGCGCTTGGTCTTCACGCCGCCGCCCCCCACGTTGTTCCATCGCGGCCCCCCGCGTCGCATGGATCACATTGGTCCGTGACCGTTTACATATCACGTATAGGGTTAACTAGTTGGTATTACAGAAGATTTAATATTTTTATAATCCACATTGGAAGTTGTTATATGATACGAGTTAAGCTGATAAAGTGTGTATGTTGGGGAGAGGTGGAGAGAGACCGCCCTCTCTGCGTCTGCGTCGAGGTATATAACGTAATTCGAGGGACTTTCGAGAGATCGAGAGGCAACAGTGTGACGTGTGCGAGAGAGATCTGTGTGCGCGATCTTGGGTTTCGTCGCTCCGATCGATCGATCGATCGATCGATCGTCAGCTGAGAAAAAACGCAAGAGGGGTGGAGGGAAGATGAAAAGGGAATCGTTCGGTCCTCGTTCGGCCAGAGTACTGGCGAATTAATTAATTAAGTGATTAATCGAAACGATCGACGAGTTAATTAACCAATCGAGAATTAAGTTTGCACGTAGTCGAAACAGACATTGCTATTGACACCGCGTTTAGATCAGTTTCGCCGAAGCGGATCTCGAGAAAGAAGGAAATTCAACGCTGCAGTAGTAAATTTCGAGTCGAAACTTCGCTTGAACATGGATGAAATACTTCAACACTAGAACTACCTGCCAAAACTTTGGTCAAAACGATCAATTTGTAAATTCATAATTTTTTAACTTTAGAAATCTCAGAAATCTGCGAAACATCATTGTGTTTGCAACAATTTGCAATTTTCAACGTCAGGTATTTATGGTTTAGTCTCCAGTTGGTAGTTTCGGTGTTAACTCGAAGATTTCTCCAACTTGCAGGAGTAGCCATTTTCCAATCGGCTCGTCAATTTTACTCAGAGGCAAGAAACGAATTCGGCTCGACGACGAATGAGAATTCGTCGGTCGGTCGACGTTTTTTTTTTTTTTTTTTTTTTTTTT